TATGTGCACTGATAACGGCCGCAACCTTGTTGTAAAAAGTCTTTTGGATGGCGGAGTTTAAATTCTATTTGTTAGGAGCAAATAAGGCCACGGGACGGGCCCACGGGCTAAGAATTGAGCACCCTTACTTCCTGGAATCCTGGTCCAAAAAAAATGAAAAGGCTGGGAAAGGGAATACAACCCGGCGAGTCTGGCAGCGGTGGCTCATTGTAAAAGTCCTACCTACTTCGTCAACCATCGTCCCATGATACACCTGCGGTGCGTCTGAGAGCGGAGCTAAACCAAAAAAAAAAAACCAAAAGCGATGTGAAACCGCTCTGAGGGCCGAGGATGGGAATCCTTTTCAGCAGAAGGTTATAACGGCGCTCGCAGAATCCCACGCAAACGGGGAGCGGGACAGCGGAGGCAGTAAAGACGTCGGCTGCGCGAGACAGATGGGGATGATAAGAACGACGAGGGCCACGACGAGGGATGCGACGAGGGATGTGAGGACGAGGACAGAAGACTCAGATCCGGTTCAAAGATGGGGCAAAAGCTTCCTATGTCGCATACAAAAGGCACTATGTACATGTAATACATGAGCTATGACCAAGGAGAAATAAAATACCACATTGACAGGAAACTTGGCGCCGGAGCATGGAGCGCCACAACCAGTACAGGAATATTGAGAAATATAAGGTTTAGTGCCTGGGCATAGATGCAAAACAGATGCTGTGGCCAACACGGAGAAATGGGGGGAAGATGGAGATCACAGATAATAGTAATTTGGTGCTTGAAAAGAATAGAATGGACACGGTGACAGCGGGCAGCGATCTAGTGTAGCGGCTAAGCAAGACGAGAGTAAGTGAGGGAGAGGGCTTGGAGAGAGTCAAGTAAGTTCGGTACAAGCCATCGGTCTGCGTGGCGTGCTCTGCGCGTAGCTAATCTCTTTATAGCTCCGAGAGTGATGCGGCGCTTAATGGCTACAATATGGTACCGAAAAATGGACTAACTGAGCTGTTTTTACCACTGCCGCGTGCCATTGCTGAAAGCCATCTTGACGCCGAAGGAGCATCTTGACAATCCCTTACAACAAAACACGAATATAGCCGTTTAAAAAATATTGGCTTCCTAGAATTCCAGCCCACCTATCTCACCGCGCTGACTTTTTGAAAATCAGATTGCCCTGCCAAATTTAGGCGGGAGATATGAAGTTTGGGGAATATTGAGCTCAATAGGGCCTTTAAAAAAAAAAAAACAGATATGTACTTTTGGAAGAGAACTGTCCCTTTACTTTAGAAATATATCCCAACTTGCGGTTACGCCGCGAAAAATCGCGGTCTCTCTGCCAAAATAAGTGTGTGTTTTGGAATTTTCATCATAGCGCACTCCAAAGTTGGTCTGTAAAAAATCCTATACAACAAAACACACAAATGCGAGTTCTCCCACGATTGGCTTGTCTATTTTTCCTCTCCAAGGTGAAGTGGTGGAGGAATCGTCGCCGAAGTCGATGTGACATTTATTTCTTTTGGACGCATCGGGGCAAACAAGTACAGGCAATCACGCAGTCCGATTGGACTAGGCCCAACACCACACACAATAAAGACTGGTAGAATCCGTCGGAAGCCACAGGTTACCATTGGCAATCATTGTCAATAGGAAGCAGTGAAAACCGCCGGCAATCGGGGGCTGGGGATGGAATTTTACCCCAATTGATAGGGGCAGGAGTACCATCAGAAACTACTGGCATTCAAACAAATGGAAGGCTGGTAGAGACTGTTGGAGTCCATTGGCATCACCCTAAATAAATTACGGTACACAGATCAAGGTACCGGTGAAGGCTGGTGGAAGCCACTGGTTTTCATTGGCAGTTGACAAGCTCAGATGCCAGTGGAAACCGAGGGCGGCCAGCGGGATCTTGGAAACAGATTGTCAATCAGATTTGGTGGTCGCCAGCCAATAGGGGCTGGCGACGGCCAGCCGCAACTGCCAGACATTGATGGCAGCCAGTGCGGACCTTCGGCCCGCACCCGCACGTGCACTCCGTGTATACAGGTGTGATCTAAGTGAGAGCCGAGTAGGCGGCTGATGCGGGTTCAGCCTCCCTTGCATCTTCAAGAGTTTCACATAAGACAGAAGAGAGGACACAATTTTGAATTCAGTGAGCATTTGCTTGCGCATGTGAGGAAGAAGATTCAAAGTGCAGGGGCCTGGTAATTGCCGCTGATACCTAGACCGGTAACCGATCTCTGGTATGAAGAAAATCGTTCATAGAGAGACTGGTCAATCTGGGTTTAAATCCTTAGGAGGCCCGATCAGAGCCGGATCAGTCACGTTTCTGGCACGTGCATCGCACGAATAAAGGAAAGAAGAGCGCATTCCCGTCGTACTACGAACAGATAATTCGTATAAAAATTAGATGTGACTCAATTTGAACGTATAAAACTGGGGGATTGAGTATAATTGTTTAAATATGCATCTTCCGAGTCCATTCGGCCAAGTTACTGCAAATCAGCCCAAGTGTGTGTTTCCGATATGTGGACCAGTTAACGGGCTGAATTTCAGGTGCTAATTGGGTCTTTGAGATTATTGGAGGTCATTTATGTGTTAATTATATTTTTCTTGCATCGTTGTTATCGGGTTTGCGCTTTTTCGATGATTTTTCTGTGATCAAAACGTGACTGATCGGGGCTCCTGAGAATTCAAACCCAGATCGACCGGTCTAGCCGATACCTAGTGGTGCCGAATGCTGCGAATTCCGGAATGGCTCGAAGATAGGGGCAAGCCCCTCTTGTAACGACGACTTGCAGGTGGATCATTTCTACACTTGTCGTGGTTTTGGAATGGTGAGGTAGTGGCAATGTTCGGCAACACATGTATGAAAAACCAGAAGGAAATATTTAGCGGAGTGTGAGCTACAGCATCATCTTGTGGGAGGAATTTGGCAGGGCACCCCTCAGATTTAACAACAAAGAACAAAAAGTTGTTTTACTCGGTGACAGGTCCCGTTTTGATGGAAAATAACATCAGTAATCATTACAGCCACTAAAAAAACTACAAATTTTTGAATCAAATTTAAGCACTGCCACCAATTTATCACAACACAGCCCCTAATAAGTCCCTCAACAATCGCTGTCACTAGTGTCAAAAACTGAGAAAAAGGGTGATCTGAAGTTTGAAAGGGACGATCCTTATTCATAGTTCCCGCCTTGAATCATTGATCCAAACAACGCGTCCTCAAAGCACCTATTCCAGAGCCTCTGCAGGGTTAAACTCGAGCCCATCTTGTTTTTTTTTTCCCGCGCATTCTTCGCTGGTGCCGTGAGTCTGCACTCTTTTTGCTCTGGGCATTTTTTGCTTCATCATACTTGCCGAGTTCTGTATGCGGCTTGCTTCTTTCCCTCTTTGTGCGCTGGACTTCCACAAAAAATTATCACACATTCAGACACTCAAAAATAAACTCAGATCTGTCCTTGCCCACTCGAGCTTTTTTCTTTTTGCGGACAGCGATGATTCCCCCCGAAATATAAGATACCATGAAAAAATTGCAACTCGCTACTCATTCCTGATACACGAAGTTGACGCAGATGTGATACTAGTTCAAATAAACCTCAATGAGTGGGAATGGCCAAGTAAGAAGAGAAAAGGACTTGAGTATGCGCTCACAACCTAACCGCGGCTCGAACGACTAATGGCGGCTGAATCAAGATAGGTTGAGCAGATGCAACCAATTTTTCGGTTAGGTCTTCCTGCTCTCCATTTAAGTCTCATTTAGTGGCTAATTGTTCTCCAACACCCATGACTTAACTTCCGTTTGAAGAGGGACTTCCCACCGAAATGTGACCATTGGTCAGGATAGGTGGATGCGGCTTCTCAATTAGGTCTTGTTCCTATAAATTTGAACCTAGACTAGTGCGGATTTATTTCAGCCTTTTTATATGAGACACAAAAAAGGATCTCGGGAGCCTAACCTCTATTCGAAGGGACTTCCACATAAATCAACGATTTCTACATCAAGCGTGGATGTGATGCCGATTTCGCCATTAGGTTTTTCTGCTTCTTCCTTAGTCCTGGGTTGGTGTAAAAGTCTAAGGGAGAAAAAAAAAGACAAGATGAGGCGAAGGACCTCGGTTCAAATGAGAGACTTCCACAGAAGTGATACACTAAGTCGGCAAAAGAAATGTCACATCAGTTTTTGGACTATATCTCAACATTGAGACAACATTTTTGGGTCAACTAAAGTGTAAGATCATGGAGAAGGAGCCTATGGACCGTTCTGTACAAGTGATAAGATCAAAATATATTGATGCACCATCACTTGAGGCCGAATACGGAAAAAACCGGAAAACCGATTTTTTTTTCTTGAGCTAGGATTTTTTTGAGCACAAGCCGAAGCCATCAGATTGTAGGCTATGATGTTCTATACTATTCCACATTTTGGAATGTGCAAAAATATACAGGGGATAGTGAGATATGTGGCCTCCAAAATGGCGATAAATGGCCAAAAATGGCCAAAAACAGGCCAAAACAGCCAAAAATGGATAAAAGTGGTCATTTTGCGGGCCACTTATCGCAATATCCCCTGTATATTTTTGCACATTTCAAAATGTGGGATAGTATAGAACATCATAGCCTACAATCTGATGGCTTCGGCTTGTGCTCAAAAAAATCCTAGCTCAAGAAAAGAAAATCGGCTTTCCGGTTTTTTCCGTATTCGGCCTCAAGTGATGGCGCATAAATATATTTTGATCTTATCACTTGTACAGAACGGTCCGTAGGCTCCTTTTCCATGCTCCTACACTTTAGTTGACCCAAAAATGTTGTCTCAATGTTGAGATATAGTCCAAAAACTGATGTGACATTTCTTTTGCTGACTTAGTGTATAAGCGGGCCCAGACAGGTACAGTGGATGCGATGCCGACTTCACTATTAGGTCCTCCTGCTCTCCCTTTAAGCCTCGTCAAATCCTCGTATACTGCAAAATTATGAGGGAGGAGGGAAAAGATCTGAAGAACGGGTCACAACCTAACCTCGATTCGAACGAGGGACTTCCACAGATCCAGGAGTTCCTTCGTAGTGCGAGTGGATGCGATGCCAGCTTCGCCATTAGGTTCTTCCTCCCCTTTACTTGTCGTTGGATCGGTGTGTGACTATATGAGGTTTTTGGATGAGGTGAATGAAAAAAAAGGCAGCAATGGACAAGGACCTAACCTCGCTCGAACGAGGGCCTTCCACAGAAGCAATGTTGTACACGCTCAAGTGCAGTGGACGCGATGCAGATTTCGCTATTAGGTCTTGTCAAAATTCTGTACTGCCGTTCATAACAGATTTTTTTTTGGTGTGCGACTAAAATAAATAAAGACAGCCAGGGGAATGTCCTAATCTCGGGTCAAACGAGGGACTTCCACTACAAAACTTATGCACCAAGCCAATTGGGGTGGATGCGATGCCATTTTCGCCACTAGGTATTTCCTCCCATTCAGTTACCCTCACACCGCCAGATGCAAGTTTTCAGTATGCCTGAAGTTGCACCTTAAACTCTTATTTTCAAGATGCTTGAAATTGAAACTGAATATATTATATTACATTACAGCTTCTGAATTATGTAGAAGCCCTTTGTTTGACCCGAGGTTAGGTCATGGGTATGAGCCATCTGTCTTTTTTTCTCCCAGTGTTGGAGGAAAATAAGCCACTAATAAATGAGAGTTAAATGGGACCAGGAAGACCTCATAGCTAAAATGGTATCGCATCCATCTCAGTTGGCGCTGCATTAAATAACCCCTTGTTGTGTGGAAGTCCCGCGTTCAAATCGATGTTAGGTCCTTAGGCTTCTGGTGTTGTATATTTTTTCTATTCAACCCACACAAAAAGCCTGGATACTTTCGCAGCGTTAACAAAGGTTAAAGAAAGTACCCTCATTTTTCATAGTCCCGTTAATTTCTGTTTTGATCATGGCCCGAATAATCGGATTGAACTCGGCTGCATGGAGTACACCTGCGTGTTAAATATCGACATTAGACATGGTTCATCATCTAGTATTTTGTGACATAAGACTTAACCTCGGGTCGAACGAGGGACTTCCACACAATGTGTTGAAAAACTTTGAACCGGCAACGGACGCGATGCCAATTTCGCTATTAGGTCTTCCTACCCACTAATCAAACCTAAACTGGTGTGGAATTATTTCACGGTCTTTGTGTGGGTTTGAATGAAAAATTGATATAAAAGGACGGTAGGAGAAGGCGAAAGACCTAACCTCGGTTTCAACGAGGGCCTTCCACGTACTAACACTTACCCGCTCTACTAACAAGTGTGGATGCGATACCGATTTCGCTATTAGGTCTTGCTCCTGTAATTCTGAGGCCCGGCCCACCGCAAATTTATTTGATGATTTTTGTGCGGGTTGAACAAAAGGACTTAACCTCGGGGACTTCCACATACTCAAGTGTTCCCAACAGAGGCAGCGGACACGATACCAATTTCGCTATTAGGTCTTCCTGGTGCAATTCTGCACCTGGTTTACTGCTGCATTTTTTCCCGCACTTGGTAGGATGATAAAAAAAAGTCGGTGGCTACAATAGGACCTAACCTCAGTTCGAACGAGAGACTTCCACATATTGCAGACGATCTTCGGCCTAATCAGAGTGGACGCGATACCAATTTCACTATTAGGTCTTCCTACCTACTAATCGAACCTAAAATAGTGCGGAATTATTGCACGGTCTTGGTGTGGGTTTGAATGAAAAATTGAGAAAAAAGAACAGTTGCAATGGCGAAAGGACCTAACCTCGGTTCGAACGAGGGACTTCCACGTAATAAGGTAGATGCGATACCGATTTCGCTATTAGGTCTTGCTCTTGTAATTCTGTGCCTGGTTTACTGCTGTATTTTTTTCCAGCACTTGGGGGGATGTTAAAAAAACGTCGGTGGCTGGAGTAGGACCTAACCTCGGTTTGAACAAGGGCCTTCCACATATTGCAGCTGATACTCAGCCTAACCAGAGTGGACATGATACCAACTTCGCTATTAAGTCTTCCCCCCTTTTGCTTGCCCTTGGATTGGTGTCTGTGATCGTTTTGGGCTTTTGGCTGTTGAGTGAAAAAAGAAAAAAAAAAAAAAAGATATGGACTACATACAACCTAACCTCGGTTCGACCGAGGGACTTCCACTTTGACTCCTGGTGCCAGGTTAAGTGCAGTGGACGCGATGCCAATTTCGCTATTAGGTTTTGTTCTTATACTTCAACCTTCACTTGGTACGAATTTATTTTTATGCTGAGCAAAAAAAAAAACTTTGGAGTAAGTAAATGGCCCATGACCTAACCTCAATTCGAACGAGGGCCTTCCACGGGTTCTTTCTCGATGGTAGTGGATGCGATACCAATTTCGCTATTAGGTCCTTGTGCGTATAATTCGGAACTCGGGTTGGTGCGTGAATATTTGGGGTTTTGGGGAAAGGCTGAGGGACAGCCACACTTAGAGCCCGAGTTGGAGCGCAGGGATACATGCAATTAGCAGCTGATAGCGTATTCCAGTCCGAGCAGAGAAGCGCGCAAGTAATGCAAGCAGATAGGTAAATGCAAGTACGCCGATGGGGAACAAGTCGGCGGAGCTGACTTAATCCCGCCAGCTTCTCTTCCTGCGCTGGCACCCTCTACGATGGCGCCGACCGGAATCAGGGCATCGATCTGGGACACTGGCCGGAATACCACTACTACCATTGTTGCTAGGAGAGGATAACCCACACTTGACACTGCAAGTCGGAGGCAGAATCGGAGTTGTGGCAATCTTGACTGACTGTGAGGAATCAAACTCTATGCTATTCTGCGCCTAACCAAGTTGTCGGCGCAGCACGCACCGCCTTTGGCATGTCGACGCCCGCGTGGACGGAGCCGCCGTGGAGCGGGTGGATCGCGACCACGGGCGACGCGCAAATTTTCGAATAAATTCGTTTTATTCCTTCGTGTATTCGGCGCGATGGCTCGCCTTCGTTATCTTCCGCTCTTATTCTCCTCTCATCTTCTCCGCTTCTCCTCCGCTGCCTTCCGCTTCCCTCCATGGCGCGTCGCACAGCTCTTTAGGCTTGGGCGTGCTAGTGCGCCCTCATTCCTCCCGGGCCTACTGCCTTCCTTCCCATCTTTTGACGTATCTTTTAATGGTGGACCAGCTACGCTGGTCCTCGAGTGCGGACGGTATCGGAGGGACACTGTATGGTCATGTTAGGATAGGATGTTGTAGCATACGTCAGCACTCTTGGCGGCTGGCCACGACGTCCACGTACCACGCCTCCCTGGGTGTACACATTCAACGCTATGTATCTTGACTCCACCGTTGTTCTTTGCGTGAAACCATCCGGAAGTCTCGTGCATGCTTAGATTTTGCGGTGCACAGATTTTTTGTAGCACATTTGTCGCAAAAAAAGGGTACGAACCATTATTGGAGCTCCATTGATTTTTGACGCATCGTCATGCAACCGGTTCTTTCTTTCATTCGAGGGCCAGCGACTGGTATGCGTTTTATCTTCTTTCCCTGCATTGTTATGCAGACATTTATTCGGCCTCCCCTGCGTCGGCATAAAACTATGCTGTTCAATTTAAGTATAAGGAAGGATGAATGAAGTCCAGTGAAGCGAAAGATCCGAGGGGGTCTGAGATATGTCTCGCATTCTGCGAAAAATACAAGTTCGAAATTCGGGCCGACCATGGGACTCCGGGAATAACCGGAAGTGAAGAATAATTATGTAACCTCAACTCGAATGAGGGACCTCCAAGTATTAGTAGTATACTTGAACGCCAGCGGACACGATACCAATTCGCTATTAGGTCTTCGTGCATTTAAATAGGCACTTGGGGACATGTCAATGGTGCGCTGGTATATTGCATGTTTTTTTGGGGGTGTTTTGGTGAAACCTTATGGCACATATACTGTCCGAAAAATAAAGAACGGTTTAGTTCGGTCAATTTTCGAAAATTTGCAGTCATGAACTAGGTTGAGGCCAAGAAAAATGTCTAGTGAAAGACCTAATGCTTAAAAAATCGCGATGCTGCGAATGTGTTCGCAAAAAAAACACGCTATGCTCATTTCCGCCCATACATTAGGTTTGAATGTCAAGCTCTGAGTTGGGTCAAATTTCTTCTGATTTGCGCAGTACGTCGTGCAGCTCGTGCCTATAAAGAGATGTTAAACGATGGCCGTAATTCCCTCGTACCACGTACCTGGGATTACCAACTCGTCCGATCCAGTATCGAAGACCACCGTGAAATCCTGTGGTAGAGCGCCAACTATCGAAGAACATGAGTATTTCCAATATTTCTGAAGACCAGTGAACTATTATATAACTTGCTTTGGATGGACCCTTATCACCTGCCGTTCATTAGTCTCGAAAAATATAACAAATAAGCACTCACTCACGCCCCGTGCCACGAAAATCGTCCGTTAGCGGGATGCTGGTCGGAGATAGACTCCGCTTGAGGCCCTCGATACGTGTAGACCTCTTTTGCGAGATACACCGGCTCCCCCGATCTTTTTCGAGCTAAGGGATAATGTGGTGGGTTTGGAAAATAATGGGGTGGGCTTTGCATCGGAGTGTGCCGGCAGATGTCGACAAGTAGGCGCGTCGCGTAGGCGGGAAGGGGACGGGAAGGAGGGAGGGGGAGGCATATAAGGTGTAGCCTGCGTAGTTCGCATGCAGAGGTTCGAGCCGGACGGCGTGGACGGCAGGGTAGCAACACCTGGTTTGAGACGATCCCAGAGCACCGTGCATTCCCCGTTATTCACTTTCTGGATTAAAAAAATGCCATTTATTAGGGCCTGCAGTTCGCTGGAATCCCGACAATCTCAATCAAGATGACAAATCCGCTATTCTTTACTGCACGTACTAGCACACACGGATTATATTCAACACCGCTGCTCGCGCATGCACATGTGGCACAGATCCAGCAGGAGCGCCGGCTCAATAATCCGCTGTGGTTTAGCCAGGCGTGTTTTGTTGTTCAATATCTGTATTGCCCACTGTCCTCAGTGTCATTGAAGACACCGCTATTCATGTCCGGCATTGTGTTGCTACTGAATACTTGGGGCGGCTCTGGGAGCGAGACGGGAAGACTCCATGCCGCAGAAAAAAAATTTAGTCGATGTTCACCCCTGTATGACGGTGCTGCGCACGCAGTGACAACAGTACGGTTTTTTTTTGTGCTGTTATCTCCCTGGTTGATATTATAACTTTTTAAACTAGTCCTCCCCCAACGAAGGACTGAACAAGAGATGGAATAACCTAGGAGGCTGCTCTGACCTTGCATTCGTTAAGTTGGGCTTCTGCCCATGACTGAACAATGACTCAAATAGTATTTATATATCTTGCACCTGCCTCTGGGGCCGTATATTGTAATCGCACCTTTGTCACTGAAAATACATTGTTGCCGAACTCAATTATAATTTGCGGTTATTTCTTCATTCCCATCAGTCCAACCGCAGCGCCCCGCACAAGCAACTTCGCATGAATGTGCTCCATATATGATTCAGTCACAACTTGATGCCTAGGGGACTCCTTCTGGTGTCCCTTCATTCTATTTGGGCTACGTATTAGGTTCGTTGCGATTCGCAAAGCCAATATGCATACATGATTCCTGTTCCTCTGCGTGCAGAGATGTTAGAGTGTTCATTACTTCTTCCACGAGGGACAGGAGATCTTTACGAGGAGGATACGTGGTGGCCAGCGTTGTTTTGTATTCGTTGAGAGCGCCTTCGATGGTGTGACGGGCACCAGGATCATCGAGCCATGCAACGAGCTGAAGGCCAGGAGGGCGAACGATGGGATGTGGGTCGTATACATACAGGGTGTTCTTGATCACCATGTCCACCAACGCTGGGCCGAGATCACTCAAGGATGCGCTGAGCAATCCTCGCAGGCTGTCTGCAAACCTGATTTGATGAACTGCATGGATGGCTGTCTAGCACATGACGTAGGAACACATCGACAGTGTTTTGGCGGCCTCGTATGGGACAGAACCTGAAATGCACCATTCAAGGAACTCGGATATGAAAACAATCCGAGCCTCTTGGGCTCGGTGGATCATCACCTTCCTGAATTGCTGTACCTGACCTTGATCCAAATGCTCACGTATCCGGTCAACCGGAACGTCAATTAAGGTCTCTGTGGGCAAAATGGGGTGGTATAATTGGAGGATGTGGTCTTCTGTCGTTCCGTCCGGAGTGAGCATGTGAAGTCGCTTCAGGATTTTAAACTTGAGCATCGTGATGATGGATGTGGTCTCCGAGGACGTGGGGAACGTAAGCACCGTATTCAACATGTTCGTGCAGGCCTGCAAGCTCGGAACGATCGGCTCATCTTCAAGTTCACCGAGAAACTGCGAAGTATGCAGCATGGTCCAAAGAGCCTTCCAGGTCTGTGTGAGATCTGTATCTTCTACAGCCCGGGAGGCATGTGAGTGTGGTAGTGATGGACCTGCAAGTAATGTCTTGGGAACGCAGTTCCAACACTTATTGACATTGAATCTTTGCATAAATTGCCACATCGCACCCTCGGAATTTCGTGCGTTCAGATAATGAACTATGCCACGGGGAAGCGCAATCGACTCCTCTGCATCGGCCTCTGGCCACCAATACGAGAACAGTGCGTAAATGATATTGTCGAGCCAGTGAACATCAGTCCCGAGCCGGTTAAATTTGTCTATATGAGTATAGATGATTTGATCGAGAGTTGATTCAACACTTTTTCGTGTCGCAGAGGAGATAATGATAGTCTTCGGTGAAATAGAGCTCAGAGTCTCCTCGAATCGATATGGTGGAGAGTCTAGAGAAGAGGCGCTATAGAGGTAATGCTTTAGACCGTCCAGAGGGGCACCTGCATGGAGGATTTGAATGTGAAGCAGCCATTGCGGAATTAACTGAGATGCCGATGCCATATCGGGACCGCGACTATAACGATTCATTTCGTTGGCTATCTCGTTGAACTTCAAGTCTCCGAGTAGCGAGGTCGAAATCGAGTGGACGTCGGGGACCTTTCCCATGTGGATATCCCGCTCGCACCTCTCCAGCTCCTCAATAACTTCCAAGATCTGCGTATTCGTTTCCCAATGATTGTGCCATCGGAGGAGGGCTAACGCGGAACATCTGTAAGGCTCGACCGTGGGATCCGCAGAGGCCAAGGAGTATGTGGCTTCACCGTAGAAGCGAGGGGGTGGTTTTGACGAATCAGTGGCATCATAGA